CTGTTTCCTCTCGTCCTGCCACATGCTGCACTGCCTGCTCTCACAGATTTAACATTCACCCTCCAGCACATGGGTGCCCTTCGTGTGACCCCAAACTGAACTCCAACAACACCGCTTCCCCCTGGGAGAAAGTGCTGGTGTTGCCCCAGCACCTCCTCCTGTTGCTCCCAGAGGATGATTTTAAGAACCAAGCTAATCCAAGAGCCTGATGCCCCCTGTGGGCAACGCAGAGCGGGATGCTCCAGGGCACAGCAAAACGTGGGGCCTGGGGAGCTCAGTTTGGGGGTGCAAGCAGAGACCTGCAGTGAGGTGACTTTCCAAGCTGCACCTAGAAGTTGTGTACATGAACAGGGGGGGACTTCTGGCCCCCTTTCTCTTCATCTAGTGAGGATATATCAAGCTGTAGACCCCCAGCCAGTGACCATGCCATCCACATCCCCATCCCACCCCCGTGCCCCACCTCATTCTCCGTCCGGGGCGGGACGTTCTCCAGCAGGTCTATGCCATTCACCACCACGCTTTTCTTCTCCCTCACTGGTGCCTTGAAGACAATTTTGGATGTCTTCTTGTAGCCTTCCTTCAGTGACATCAGGATGGGGTCTGCATGGGGCAGAGGGCGGGAGGGGCTCAGCCCGAGCCCCCGGCCGCCTCCCCGGTTGATTTCGGGGCCCCGTGGCCCCTGCCCAGTGTGCCCCCCGTGGTGTCACCTCTGTTCACCCCACTCAGCCACTCCTCAGGGGTGAGGGCCGGCTCCGTGCCCGGGGTCATGGGGTAGATGTCCTCTTGGTACGTTTCTGACTAGAAACAGAGGGGGAAAGAAAAGCAGCAGCCTCTGAACCTGCTCCCCCTCCTAACTGGGTGGCACAACACACCAGAAACCTGAGGGGAGGTGAGGCCCTTGCTGTCACAAGGGACCAAGGTGGTCTTGGACATTGTATCAAGCCCAGGAGCAATGCAAAAATGCCTTTCCTAAAAATATTCCCACCTGACCTTGGGTAAAAATCCCCCGGGAAGTGTAACGACTGGGAGATCTAAGACTGAAAGAGACCCAGTGGTCGGACTGGTCAGTGAAGTGGTGAGACTGGGGACGTCTCCATCCCACCAGTCCTGGTTGGTAGGATCGTTTTGGTTGGAAAAGTCTCCTCTAATATCCTCAACTCCAACCATTAACCCTGTTCCACCTCTAAGGCATAGCCCCAAGCACCACATCTCCAGGGCTTTGAAACCCCTCCGGGGCTGGGGACTCCACCCCCTCCAGCTTAAACCTCCCCTGGAGCAGCTCGAGGCCATTCCCTCTCGTTCCATTAGTAGTTTCCTGTGAGAAGTTCAGACTTGGGAGAGGTTTGGCCAGCCCTGGCCACCCCTGCAGCCCACCCTTGCACCCCCCTGAGGGACTCACCCTCCTGGGGACGATCATGGAGATGGGTTCAATCAGCCCCTTGAGGGTGATGAGCTTGTAGAAGCGGAAGACCTCGCAGGCCGACACGTCCAGCCCGTGCTTCGGCATCACCCCTGTGGAAGAGGCACAGCTGGGGCACCCCCCTCCCCAAAAGGACCCTGCTCTCCACCAGGAAACCCAAATCCTTGTGGAATAAACCCCTGGGGACCCGTGGCACGGGGCTGAGGAGCAGCAGGGGCGTTTGCAAGGGCACAGGGAAAGGGACTCACCGCGTGTGTCCAGGACAAATGAAGGGGATGGTTGTCCCCCGTGTGACAGCAGGGGGGTGACACCACGGCAGGGAGCCCAGCCCAGCCCCTCAGCCCTGTCCCCCTGCTCCAGAGCACCCCCAAAGCCCGTGGCCAGTCCTTACCCAGGCCCTTCTGCGGGGCGGGGGAGCGGAACTCCATCAGGTAGCTCAGGTAGGGCTTCTCCGAGCCCACCTCGTAGTAGCGGATGTTGCCGTCGCCCTGGGGACACAGGGGGATGGGGAGGG